ATATGCTGATTTATTATCAGTGCTGGAAACTGTTGTGCTGCTTAACATTTCTTTGGAACCTGTGATACTTTTTTTTGTGAAAAAATAATAAGAATAAAAAACAAACAAACAAATATACACTGCTGTTCAAAAGTTTGGTATCGGTAAGATTTTTAAGGTGTTTTAAAGAAGCCTCTTCTGTTCATCAAGGCTGCATTTATTTGATCAGAAATACAGAAAAAACAGTAACATTGTAAAATATTCTTATCATTTAAAATACTGGTTTTCTATTTTAATACATTTTAAAATGTCATTTATTCCTGTGATGCAAAGCTGAATTTTCAGCATCATTACTCTGTCTTCAGTGTCACATGATCTTCAGAAATCATTCAAATGTGCTGATTTATTATCAGTGCTGGAAACTGTTGTGCTGCTTAACATTTCTTTGGAACCTGTGATACTTTTTTGAAGGATTATTTGATGAATAAAGTTAAAAAGAGCAGCATTTATTCAAAATAGACATATTTTGTAACAATGTAAGTCTTTATTATCACTTTTTATCAATTTAACACATCTTTGCTGAATAAAAGCATTAATTTATTTCAATAAAAAAAATATTGTTACAAAAGATTTCTATTTTAAATAAATACTGCTCTTTTTAACTTTATTCATCAAATAATCCAAAACTAAACCAAAGTTTTGAACGGCAGTGTGTATATATATTTATAGTTAGTAAATAATTATATAAAATGTTATTATTTAATTACATTAAAAAGTTTGATTGTTTGATTCCACATAATCATGCTAAGTTATCTATATAATGTCAAATTAAACGTTGACTGTTGAGCAAGTAATTTAGGGTTATTACAGTAAACTAAAACCATAAAATAAGTTTTGTTAATTCAATTAAAAAGTTAACTGAAATATATATATAACCAGGGTTTGAAATTAACACCCGCCAAATGCGGGTAAAAATCAGCTGTGGCGGGTAACGCTGTCAAATCACTAGCCAATTTGCCGGGTTACTTTTCGTAAATTATGTTCACTCATTAATTTCTTGGGGAAGTTCAGGCAGGCCAAATCTGCGCAGGTTTAGCACAAATACTGAACTCGTGAGACATCATGACATTATCGAGTATATTGCAAAAACCAAACAAAACACACCTACAGAGGCGTGCCTACGCGACGTGATGAAGTCTGGTTAGAGTAGACCAACACAGGCTTTAGTGCACGTGCGCTTTTATGGTGCGCTCTTTCACTGCATGATTCAGTCTATTAATATGCATTAACAATGATCACATACTTCAAGATAAGGAGGCAGAAAATGTATATATTTATATCAGTTCATATAGTTAATCAATATCACACGAAGAGAAAAAATCAGCATGGTTACAAATGTGATATTTATTTTATACAACAGTTCAATAAATAGTAAGTTCATATCAAGAGCCTTACGTTTTAAACACCATATTGGCTGTTTTTGCGCTATTTCTGTGCTATTTCGCCAACAAAAAAACATTCCAAACACAGCCACAGTACTGTTTTGTGTCTCTGAGCAACATGACGTTGTTTTGTTTCTGAATGAATCAACCGTGTAAATGATTTGTGACTCAATGACTCACTTAACAGTGACTTGCTGCCACCTACTGGCGGTTTTAATTTCACATTTAAAGTATCTTTTCATTTTT